TAATGAAAAAGTTTGAAATAGTGCAAGAATTACCAAAATTTGACACACAGACATGAAGTGAACAAATGCTGTAGGAAAAAAGGCACTGATAGACTTGCTCAAGGCAAGGTTGCCACAAACGTTCAATTTGTAAAAAACACAATGTCTGTGATGCACAATAAAGTGAAGTGCAATAAAATGAGGTCAGCCTAAGTAAATACATAAGCGAATAAATCAGAACTATTTTGAAAGTCTAAAGTAGCTGAAGTAAGTAAAAGTCCTGCATTTCTGGGAAGCTATGTTTTCTGAACTCTTGAAAGGTAAAGGGAGAGCAAGATAAAGACCAAGTAGGTTAACTAACTGTACTAGTTTCCTAGGATTGCCCTGGTTTTAGGTGCAGAATGTCTCCTGTCCTGGGAAACCCCTCAGTCTTGTGCACGCTGGGACAGTTGGTCACCCTAAAATAAAGACTTACATTGTGGTTGATGAAATTAAAATTCAGTGGAAAGGGTACTTATATATTATTTTCCAAATTATATATCTTTAATATAAATGGAGTAATATAAATAAAAACAGAAAAAGCATAATGACCAAATACTCTCCTAAGAAGCTATCCATATATAGGCAAATCCTGGACAGTCTGTCCATGCAGTTATAGAGGTTCATTTGGTAGCACTTATTCTAATTGCAAACTTTTTTCCTACAAGGAAATAATTAGCCTTTATAGGGTTCTTTTGGAAATCCCAAACTTTAGCATGACACCAGATATCCTACAGGCTGACAAAGGAGAAAGTTTCCAAAGGAAATTGCTTAACATTTTCAACGATGGGAGGTCAAAAAAGGGAAAAGGGTGAGGTGACCTTCCAGAGAACAGTGCTGCTGGCACAGTGGGGACAGAAGCCAGATTACTGGGCCCAAGGAGGGACCCAGCAGCGGAGAGGCTCCAGACGGCCTGAGACCACTTCTGTAAGATGTCAGGGAAAGGAAGTAAACCAATGAGCCAGTAGCTAGGGGGCAAGAAAAACGTCTGTCAAGGTGGAGGAAAGTCTAGTGTGCTGAAGACAGAACAAAAGAAACCAGGGATGGAAAGCTTACTTGGAGCTTGTTGCTACCAAGGGCAGAGGACTCCTGCCACCTGGGCCATTCAGACTGTTATCGAGAAATATTTTAATGGAAGACTCTGGCCCACGTGTCCAGGACCCTCCCTTCTAGCTAGCCACATCTTTTAAGGCCCAGCTCAAGACCTGGCCTCTATACATGTGCTTTCCCACTCCTTTAAATGACTTTTGCCGTTGCAGAGGGTCTGGACTCTAGGAGCAAGCCAGTTGCAATCATACGGCAGCAGCTAAAATGAAAACAGTGTCAGAATAATAAAAATAGGATAAACGTAAAGGTTTTGGAAAGTTTATAGCTTGGGTCCATGACATTGGGTAAACATCCAAGACAAGAAAACCTTTTTTTATTTTTTAATAAAGAAAAGACTGACATTTTATTATATCAAAATTAAGAACTTTCTTTTTTTTTAGAAAGATAAATTTATGTATTTTTATTGTCCTTCTTTTCTCAATAAAAGGTAGCCTTCTAAAAAAAATTAAGAACTTTCTTACATCAAAAAAATTTTTAGGGCTTCCCTGGTGGCGCAGTGGTTGAGAGTCCGCCTGCCGATGCAGGGGACACGGGTTCGTGCCCTGGTCTGGGAGGATCCTACATGCCGCGGAGCGGCTGGGCCCCTGAGCCATGGCCGCTGAGCCTGCGCGACCAGAGCCTGTGCTCCGCAACGGGAGAGGCCACAGCAGCGAGAGGCCCGCGTACCGCAAAAAAAAAAATTTTTTTAAGAAAATGAAAAGACACTCTTAGTAAAGTTGGCATAAACACAGCAAGGGATTAATAACAAGAACACATAAAGAACTCTCATAAATCAATAAGAAAAGCAACAGAAAAATGGGCAAAGATTTTTACAGAAGAATAAGCACCAACAAAAATACAAAGAGATGTTCAACCTCATTAACGATGAGGGACATGCAAATGAGATACCATTTTATGGAATTCAATTGGCAAAAACTTAGAAGTCTAACGTGTTAGAAAGACTTCGAAGCAACAGTATCTTTTATACGTAAGACAAGAAAACCTTGAATAATCAGAGTCCCTATTCTCCAAACTGAGATTGTTTTTAGCTTTTAGGAAAACTCCAACACACGCAGGGCCACTTAACATTGGCAGGGTCTGGGGCAAGAGCACAAATGGAGGCCCATCTACCATACACCTAATCTTTAAATGTGCTACATCAGGCCAATAAGTGTGGCTCACCCACACCCCTTTCATCCTAACCTGGGCTCTGTGAGGAGCCTGTGGGCTCACAGGAGCAATCAAGCTCCAGCCACACCCTGGAGGCCCAGGGATGTCCACATCAGCAACTCCTGAATGACTATGAAATACTGCCCACCTTCTCCAAGCAGGCTTCAGGCTGTTTGCACTGGGAATTTAGGGTCCTTCACACCAAGTGTGTTCCAGAAGGCCGAGGGGGCATATCCATTAACCCCTTGGCCCATCAGAAACTTTACCACGAGGGGTGTGGTGTCGCAAGAGGAGCACCAGCTTGTGTGCCGAGGCCAGGATCCTTCTTGCCTGAGTTTAACAAACATACTGGACACATTATCATTTTCCAGTTATATTTTATCACTGCATTCTCCCAGTCTGACTTTCAAAGAACTCTTGGACAAGACTTTACAATAAGGCTTCCCACAATATTGACTGTAACAGCTCAAGCAGGCTGAACAGCCCAGAAAGAATGTTCCTGCTGAGCAAACTCAAACACAGCAGGCTTCGGTGCTCCAGTGAGAGGCCCCAAACGGGGTGTTCTCTGGTCCTATCCAGATAAAGCAAATTACAGATTATCTCCTGGCAAAGGAAAAGCAGAGTTTTAAAATACATTTGAGATGGAAATATAATCTTCTGACAGCTTCTGAAAGGGAGCAGTTTAGCCTGGGTTATTTACATCAAACCCAAACCACTTCAGTTTACCCTACGTGGGGTAGGGAGCTGATGCCTTCTCCAGTCTTCTTCCCCAGGAACTAAAGCCTGGAGGAGGTGGCGTCTGACTCAAGAATACCTTGAAGGTGATGCTCTCAGGGGAGTAACCCCACAAGGGGAGTTAGCACACCTGGTTCTTCTCTTCACCTGGCTGGTCAGTTGGGAGGTTGCTTCTTCTGGGCCTGTTGCCACCGCTGAGAATAAAAGGGCCAGCCTAGATGATTTAGAATTTTCCTTGGGGCGGGAGGGTCTGGGGAACCCTTGAGCAATTTGATCTTCTAGGAAGCCCTGCAGGGTGAACACAGCTCACCTGTACCCTGTTAACGTACTTGGAATATCTGGGATTCACCTGGCCCCGGGAGCGTCCTCCAGTTACAGGATGTACCATCCCAGGCTGGATAACCATCACTGGGGCATATTTCCAGCTTGAGGTGCTCAGTCACTCTCTTTGAAGAGGCAAACGATTACTACTGCACTGAATTTGGGTCCCCAAATGACAGCAACATCATGTGTAGGGGAGAGCCACGACTGTTAACTGGTGCATTTAACCAATTAAATTCGGCTTTGTGTCTCAAAACAATTTGCTTCATTATTAACCAAGCTGGAGGCAATGATGGAGGTGATATTCGGAGGCCTGATAGATTTCAAGGTTTGGGTAAATTCTGAAGAAATTATTTACTTAGTATAGATGTGATTTCAAAGAAACTTCCTCAACTAGTAAACAAACAAACAAATAAATAAAATAAACCTTCAAGTTGAGCATTGGGCTGCAAATTTTGCTTGAAATAGCTGCCATTTTCTTAAACCTACAGCATAACAAGTACCATAGAGTTGGGGCTATGGTATTTGTTTTCCGGGGCTGTTGGGAGGATGAATGGGATACCCCAGATAAAAGGGTGCGTGCCCCCCCCCCCCAATCAGGCCGGTGAGGAGCCTGCTCAGAGTCTTCTGTCTCTGTCGGTCTGGCACAAAATAGGGCCTCAATAAATATTTACCAAGTGCATGAACGGTTGCCTGCTTTTCTCCTTTTGTTTAGTCACACTCTCCTTTTAAGCTCCTACAAAGAAACCCAGGGCCCTGCATGCTGCCAGTTCCACTAGGGTGTGGATGTAGAGGATGTAGAGGAAGGGGGATGAGGAATCAGTAAGGGAGGCCAGGGATCCGAAACGAGAGGGAGGAAGAGAAAGATATGATTAGAGGCGCAGGGCCAACAAAGAGCCAGACGCAGGCGAACCCAAGCGCTCTGCACCCGGGACGGGCCCCAGGCGCGCCTCCAGCCCAGCGCAGTCCACGCCGCCGGCCTGCACCGGGCGAGGCGCCCCCAGCCCGCACCCGAGGCGGGTCAGTGGCCCCCGCCCCCGGGGCGGTGCCGGGAACACGCGGCGCTCCGGCGGTCACGTGGGGGCCGCTCCGCCGGGCGGCGCTGCTGCTTCCCGATCGCACCCTCCCAGTGCCGGGGACGCGGCGTTCGTGCTCCCGCCGGAGCCTGGGGAAGCGGAGAGCAGGAGGCGGCCCGGCCCTGCGTCCACAGGATGCCCGCCGCGGAGCCGGGCGCCGCCGTCCTCGTGGAGCAGGCGGAGGCGACGACGCTGCGGGCCGCGGGGCCACGGCGGCAAGGGTAGCGGGGCTGGAGTTGGCCCCGAGGCGCCGAAGGCGGGCGGAGTGGGAGGAGGAGCGGCAGGCATCCTCCGCGGCGCGGCGGGCGGGCGGCGGCCCTGCTGCCCCGGCGCGCCCCTGGCCCGGGAGCCCGGAGAATGCGAGCTGCGCTCCCCGCCGGCCGCCGCCTCCCCCCGCGCCGTGCGCCCGGCGACCCCCGGAGCTGCTCGCGTCGCCGCCGCCCCCCAGCTGCGGGCGCCCGGCCGCTGGCTGCGCTAGGACCGGCCGCCGCCGGTCGCCGAGGGCTGGTAGGAAGGGAGGAGCGGGAGCGAAAGGGCCCCGGAGACTGGCGCCCGCCGGGGCGCAGCGCGGCATGTAGCTGCGGGCTCCCGCGCGAGGGTGTCGGCCCGGCCCCGCCATGGCTGGGACGGACAGCGGGAACCTGAAGACGGTGAGGCTGTGGCGGGACGCCGCCCTGCGCGCCAGGAAGCTGCGGAGCAACCTGCGGCAGCTCAGCCTCAGCGCGGCCGGGGGCTGCCCGGGGACCGACCAGCTCGACTCTCCCGACGCGCCCCAGCTTGTGCTGCCGGCCAACATCGGGGACATTGAGGTGCTGAACCTGGGGAACAACGGCCTGGAGGAGGTGCCCGACGGGCTGGGCTCGGCGCTGGGCAGCCTCCGCGTCCTGGTCCTGCGCCGGAACCGCTTCGCCCGGCTGCCCCCAGCGGTGGCCGAGCTGGGCCATCACCTAACCGAGCTGGACGTGAGCCACAACCGGCTGAGCGTCCTAAGCGCCGAGGTGGTGAGCGCTCTGCGCGAGCTGAGGAAGCTCAACCTCAGCCACAACCAGCTGCCCGCCCTGCCCGCCCAGCTGGGTGCGCTGGTCCACCTGGAGGAGCTGGACGTCAGCTTTAACCGCCTGGCGCACCTGCCCGACTCCCTCTCCTGCCTCTCCCGCCTGCGCACCCTCGACGTGGACCACAACCAGCTCACGGCTTTTCCGTGGCAGCTGCTGCAGCTGGCGGCCCTGGAGGAGCTCGATGTGTCCAGCAACCGGCTGCGGGGCCTACCTGAGGATATCAGTGCCCTGCGTGCCCTCAAGATCCTCTGGCTGAGCGGGACCGAGCTTGGCACCCTGCCCAGCGGCTTCTGCGAGCTGGCCAGCCTGGAGAGCCTCATGCTGGACAACAACGGGCTGCAGGCTTTACCCGCCCAGTTCAGCCGCCTGCAGCGACTCAAGATGCTCAACCTCTCTTCCAACCTCTTGGAGGAGTTCCCTGCCGCGCTGCTGCCCCTGGCTGGTCTGGAGGAGCTCTACCTTAGTCGCAACCAGCTCACTTCCGTGCCGTCCCTGATCTCGGGCCTGCGCCGTCTTCTCACCCTGTGGCTGGATAATAACCGGCTCCGCTACCTGCCTGACTCCATCGTGGAGCTCACGGGCCTGGAGGAGCTGGTCCTGCAGGGGAACCAGATCGCTGTGCTGCCAGACAACTTTGGCCGGCTCTCCCGGGTGGGCCTGTGGAAGATCAGGGACAACCCGCTGATCCAGCCCCCCTACGAGGTCTGTATGAAGGGGATCCCCTACATCGCAGCTTACCAGAAGGAGCTGGCTCATTCCCAGCCGGCGGTCCAGCCCCGCCTCAAGCTGCTCCTGATGGGCCATAAAGCTGCAGGAAAGACCCTGCTCCGTCGCTGCCTCACCGAGGACAGAGTGGAGGGGAACCAAGGAGGAGGGGACAAGGAGAAGAGCCACCCGCCTTCACCTCCTCCCGTGAGCAAGGGCATCGAGGTGACCAGCTGGACAGCGGATGCCTCCCGGGGCCTGCGGTTCATCGTGTATGACTTAGCCGGGGATGACAGTTATGAGGTGATTCAGCCCTTCTTCCTCTCCCCGGGGGCCCTTTATGTGCTGGTGGTGAACTTGGCCACCTATGAGCCGCTCCGCTTTCCCACCACCGTGGGCTCCTTCCTGCATCGGGTAGGGGCCCGGGTGCCTCACGCCGTGGTGTGCGTTGTGGGCACGCACGCCGACCTCTGCGGGGAGCAGGAGCTGGAGGAGAAGTGTCTGGACATCCACCGCCAGATCGCCCTGCAGGAGAAGCATGACGCTGAGGGGCTGAGCCGGCTGGCCCAGGTGGTGGATGAGGCACTGGCCCGGGACTTTGAGCTCCGCTCCGCCAGCCCCCATGCAGCCTACTACGGTGTGTCCGACAAGAACCTTCGGCGGCGCAAGGCCCACTTTCAGTACCTGCTCAACCACCGGCTGCAGATCCTCTCCCCTGTGCTGCCCGTGAGCTGCAGGGACCCACGCCATATACAGCGCCTGCGGGACAAACTGCTCTCAGTGGCCGAGCACCGGGAAATCTTCCCCAACCTCCACAGAGTACTGCCTCGGTCCTGGCAGGTGCTGGAGGAGCTGCACTTCCAGCCCCCTCAGGCGCAGCGGCTCTGGCTCAGCTGGTGGGACTCGGCTCGCCTGGGCCTGCAGGCCGGCCTGACCGAGGACCGGCTGCAGAGCGCCCTCTCCTACCTGCACGAGAGCGGCAAGCTGCTCTACTTTGAGGACAGCCCGGCCCTCAAGGAGCACGTCTTCCACAACCTCTCCCGCCTCATCGACATCCTCAACGTCTTCTTCCAGAGGGATCCTTCCTTGCTGCTGCATAAACTGCTCCTGGGGACCAGCGGCGAGGGCGAGGCTGAGAGCCGGGGTGGAAGCTCCCCGCTGATGGCGCCGCCCGCCCCAAGCCAGGATGCGCTCCGGGCCACCCAGCTCCATCATTATGTGGAAGGCTTTCTGCTGCATGGGCTCCTGCCGGCCCACGTCATCCGGCTGCTGCTGAAGCCTCACATCCAGGCTCAGCAGGACCTGCAGCTCCTGCTGGAGCTGCTGGAGAAGATGGGACTCTGTTACTGCCTCAACAAAGCCAAGGGCAAGCCTCTGAATGGGTCCACGGCCTGGTACAAGTTCCCGTGCTATGTGCAGAACGAGGTGCCCCACGCGGAGGCCTGGATTAACGGGACCAACCTGGCCGGGCAGTCCTTTGTGGCTGAGCAGTTGCAGATTGAATATAGTTTTCCCTTCACCTTTCCACCCAGCTTGTTTGCACGCTACAGCGTCCAGATCAACAGCCATGTGGTGCACAGGTCGGATGGCAAACTTCAGATCTTTGCATACAGAGGGAAAGTCCCTGTGGTGGTGAGTTACAGACCTGCCAAGGGGGTCCTGCAGCCGGACACCCTGTCCATTGCCAGCCACGCATCCTTACCGAACATATGGACGGCATGGCAAGCCATAACCCCCTTAGTAGAGGAACTGAATGTCCTACTTCAGGAATGGCCTGGACTGCACTACACTGTGCACATTCTTTGTTCTAAGTGCCTTAAGAGAGGGTCACCGAATCCACACGCTTTCCCAGGTAAGAGGGGAGAGGGATGTGTCTCCCTTGCGGTATGTTTTAAGATGCATTTTGGGAAGATATTTGTTTCTCCTTTGGCAGACTGTTTGCTTAACCTCACTGGCTCCCCAGGAAAGCTTTTCAAGGAAAATAGAGGAGGATTTGGGGACAAGCAAAAGGCAGTAAGTACGTTAGCTATGTGAATACAGTCCCCAGTATCATGTATCATACTCTTCTAATAGAAAGACTCAAACTTCCAAGGTGGGTTCCAGTCAAAACATTTCGTATCTCCTTTTCCCTCTTCCCAATTCAGCCCGCCTTTCCTGGAAGGAAATTTCAGATGGTTGAACAGAAGATGAGTGGTGTCTGATGCCGAGCCCTGGGCTATAATGCTTATTAGACACATGTCGAAGGGGTGCTCTGAGTTTGAGATGTCTAGTCTCATATTCTTTTGTTTAAGTTCAGAGTGTGACCATAATGCAGAAATTATTGCTCCTTTTTCTTAAGAAATTCCAGAGAAGAATGTTTCGTAATCGGGGTGAATGATGGATTAGTAAAGACAAAAATGTCAGTCTGTAAGGCATGACTCAATCCTGGGATCACTGTTTCACCCACTGCACTCTAGGGTATGAAAGAGCGATTACTGAAATCTCTAAGGGGAGTTTTTTGGGTATTCCTGGGTAATTTTGTGCTTTACCAACATCTTAAGGCCCGGGTTTTGGTTAAGTGTTAGAGAGTGGAGCTTTATGGAGGTGCTTTGTAAGAGATGGAAGGGACAAGAAACTGACGCGAGTTCTTGGGTTTTTGTTGGTTTTTTTTCCTCTTTTGGGGAGTGTTTTCCAGCAGACTTTTTTTTTTTTTATTTTTAAACTGTTTCAGGTGAGTGGGAGAATTCCAGGACTGGTAGGATTTTTCAAGCCTGGTTAATTGGTATCTAAGTGTCTATTTGGGAACGGGTCCATTTCTTCACCCTTTGGAACTCTTCTCTAAACAGCTCTGATTTTTGTGAAGCAGGCTTAGTTAACATTCCAAGTGTCCTAAGGACAAACCCAATAATAGCATCACTGCCAGTTTCTCCCCTCGGTCCCCCACCTCTGGGTACATTGAGGGGGGTGATGAAACGGAAGACTGTATGCCACTGTCATCTTTGTCCTGGTCTGAATGCTGCTCGTAATAGTATCGGGAAGGAATTGGACACCAATATTTCCGAAGGTAACATCTCCCCGTTGCCCTAGATCTGGGCTGAGTTTAATTCATCAGCTGAAAAAAGCCACCATATCCAGTTACCAGTCAATTAAGCTGTCCATTCTGTATGATTATCTGGTGTCTCGTCACAGTTCGTGACTTGGTAGCCCTTTCAGTTTGTTTTATATTTGCCATTGTCTTTATTCATGAAAGCAAAATTCTTCTCTATTGTGCCACTAAATTGAAGAAAGTGGTTGAGAATTACATATTCACAGAGCATATTATTGAAGGAGCTACTTAAAGCCAGTTCTTAACACAAAGATGGAGCATTAATAAAACTGGTGTTATTAACAACAAAGGGGAACACATAGGTTATTGAACAAGTAAGGATCTGTGCAGAGGAATTCGAAGAACTTTGAAGAGTAAACAATGAGGCTGATTTTTTTTTTTCTAATCTCAGCTCTTTATTTTTCAACAGTCATAAATTCCACAAACAAGCTGTCTCCAGATGCAGAGACAACCCCATTCTCTTGTTATTGTTTTGCCTTTTTGTCTTTCAAGGAGGTCACCTGGTTTGCGATCCAGGCTATAGGGAAGACGTGGCTTTCTCAACGTAAAAAGCAATTAAATGATTGAAAATTGTCAAATTATCTTATGTAGTGAGTAGGAATAACTCATCAGCTGTTTTTATAATATGGACTGTAGGTTTCTGTCTTGTTCATGGTCAGAGAAAGAAATTATCTTTTTTGCTTCGTTCAGGATTGATTTCTGTCAAAAGCAGCAGAGGGTACAGAGTAGCGGGAAAAGATGATTATAGTACATTTATTACATTAAGAAGACAAAGAAAAAACCACATTTTCCTCTTTCATAATTTTCTGTGATAGCCATCATTTGTTAGTATTTGTCACAATTCTGAAAGATCTGAGAAGAGCTAAAATAATGAAAAGCTAGAAGGTGATGTAGGAACAAACATATAACGTTCGGTGTTCAGTTAGTGAGGGCATACATTTAAAAATATGCTCAATGAGTCCCTGGATTATTAAAATATATTGTAACTCAGCAGAAACCTTAAATTTGTTTCAGCTTCAAGACATTAAGATTAAATAGGAAATTAAAGTGTCTCCTTTGATTTTATATGGAAGAAACAAAGTTGCATTATTATCTTAAAAAGTGTGTGTGTGTGTGTGTGTGTGTGTGTGTCCCATTTTGGCCCTGTGTCTGTGGATGGGACATTGAATTTTCTGGCCTGAGCTGCACTGAGGTAGTTGGCCTAGGGAAGTATAACGCTAGATTTCTCTTTTCTTATTTTGATTTACAAAAGAAATGCAATGTTTTGGAAAATCCTTAGTCACCAGGCCACTTGTTTCGAAAAGTTCTTGTAAAAAAGATCTAAGCACTGTGTCAGAGAGGTCACCTGTTTGTTTCATTTGAGATAAATGGGTTGGGTGATAAGAGAGGCTTTCGGAAACTCAAAGGCGGCCCATGATGCAGCCTACATGTCAGGTGTGAGTCTTTATTACTTTCTGCAACTTTACTGCCAGCACCTGACCGCCAGGTTGCCTCCTCCTTAACGAGGGAACTCTGGAATGTTCTTGGCCTTGAGTAAGTTTCTTCTTGCGGGATATTTATCTACGCTCTCGTTCTTTTCCACCAACATGACATCTAAACCAGGAGAGCTGACTGCTCCTGAGGTTGGCTAATGTGTGGCCTACGGATGTAAGATGTGGAGGTGAGGACGGAGGTCCACAGCGAGATTCTAGTGCTCTGCTATTTCAGTATTTGAAAGGATGCTGTGTGTTTTTAAATTGGAAGAGTGCATCTTGGTGAGTTGAACTTGGACCGCGTGTGATTTTTCATGAAATATCCTACTCTCCAAATTATTCAAGGTCACTCTTAAGAATAATTAGAAAGCAACCCAGAGCAGTAGGCAGAGAATTGGTAGATGATCTTTTATATATTTGATCCCTTTCATTCACTCAGTTGCTCAGCACCCTGCCGCTTCTCCCTAGTCAAGTGCCTTTTGTCCTTGTTTAATTTCTTACACACTCTGTACCCCTCTGAAGCCCTCAGTGAATTTTGCCTTGTTCTGTAGCTGTTTGTGTAGGTCATAATATCTCTTTGATTAGCTTGTTCACTTGCTTCCTCCACGCAGGAAACATGCCTGAGGCTTTGTGGCTTCTGTAAGAGCCTCTCAACTGTCTGCTGGATGACTGGTCTTTGTGAGAAATCTCTTTCTTGTTTCCTTTGGTAGTCACACACTCTGTCAGATTCCCAGGTGGTACTCTTGCAGTCATCTCGCTTTGTCCTGTGTCCCAGCTTCCCTCCCCCACACTTGTCCCTCTGGTGTTCTCCTCGTCACTGTATTACTGGCCTTGCCCTTGAATGGGCCCTTCACTTTGACCACTGAAGCAAAGCAAAATTCTTGCCTTGTTCTATCTCAGTTTTAGAGTTCCTGGAATTTGAGCATGACCTAGTTGCTTAGATTGAATTAGTCATTGTTTTTAATTTTGCAAAGGTTATTAAATATCTTTCTGGTTTGGCTTTATTAATACTGACGCTGCTCGGCTTTTGTTTTTGTGGAGAGTCCTCTTTGAACTCTCTTGGGCTTTGTTTCATAGAAACATCAAAACCTTCATCATGCAGTGGATGAAAGAAACTCCCTGCGTAACAGAATTCAAAGACTTGAAAGGCCTTTGGAGTGTTCAAATTGTTTTGAATATTAGGTGCCTCTTCTTTAAACTCTAGAATAAACTCTCAAGTCCATCCCTGCACAAGTTTAGAATTTCCTAGAGAAAATATTTTTTAATTTGTTAACAGACATTTAGTGTCGTCCTCTGCCACCTGCTCGTCTCATCCTCCAGGAAACCTCACCTATTTTAGTTCTTACTCATTTCCTTCATCTGAACACCTAGAACACGTATAGGGTGTACTTCACAGGGTTGTTCTGAGCATTAGGTGAGAGACTGTGTCGAGGAAAGCAGTTACCCCCCGCCCCCCCCACCGTGTCTGGAGGAAGTGAGGGTGGGGATGGCTGACATGGGAGTGAGCATTTCTGGTTGATTTCTCCCTTCACCCACCAACTTGCTTCTCTCTATGGGAGTCTGTTTTGATTAAGGATCTGACCATCCATCCATCAGGGAGCTTTTTTTGTTTTTTAAAACGCAGGGGACCAGTAGTGCTGGTCTCATCTCTTGCCCTCTCTTGTCTGCTGCAGCCGAGGCCCTTCGGGGCTGGAGAGGAGAGTTGTTTGTGTTTCAGGCTCTGCTTGGGGCAGGCCCAGCCCGGTCTCTGTTCCCCTGGTTCACCTGCTCTGATTGCAAAACCAGGTGTCAGGTTGCTGTCAGGTTTACTGTCCTCTGGGGGCCGGCTACCTTCACTTCAGTGGGGAGGGCTGTGGAGGCCTCATTTTGGCCTGCCTTCCACAAACCTGCTCTGGCACTCGTGAAGCTGACCCTCGGATCCCCGTTTAGTGCCTCGAGTCGGCATGGCCTGTAGAACCCAGAGTGATTGACAGACATCTCAGACAGTCACAGCATAGGTACGATGACGTGTCTTTCTTGAACCACCAAGACCCTCTCCGTGAAAGGTGTGGCAGTTTGCTCTGCGGTTGTACCCTCACTTCTCTGAGTTCTCATGTCTCATGTGACGGCACACCGCGCCCTGGACGGTGCCTGGCACAGGGCCGAGCAGGTAGAAGGGATTCAAAGCGGATTGGGTATTTTTCAAGAACTCAAAAAATTCTAGTGTTTCTTAATTGATTCCTTGGCAGAGTGGTGTTTTTTAGGTTGCTTGTGATGTTTTTTATCTCAAAGTGTGTACTTTTGTGTGTGTGTGTG